AATGCCTTTAAAGACTCATACTGCCAAAGCACATTTAAGAAGGAAAAGACAATCTAAATAGTTCTTTATAAAAGCACAAACTCCCAATAATGGATGTCAACATATTTTATACCTAAAATGTACCAATAAAATTAATGAAAAAAATTAAATAGGTTTGGTTTGTTTTGGTTTGGTTTTGGTACTGGGGATCGAACTCGGGTCCCTGCGCTTGCGAGGCAGGCGGTGGAACCACTGAGCTAAATCTCCTGCCCCTAAATAGTTCTTTATCATTAAATAAATTTAATTTGCAGTTAACTTTTGTATGAAGAAAACTCCAGTCCCAGACGATCTGTAAAGTCTAATACTTTTAAAAGATAAATAATAATGCTACACAAATTCTTCTAAAAAAAATATAGAGTGGTGAGAATAGTTCTCAGCTCATTCTATGAAGCCAGCATTACCCTGGGACCAAAGCCAGACAAACACATAAAACTACAGACCAATAGGCTTCATAAAAGATATATGCACTGCCTCACAAGCACAAGGTCCCGAGTTCGATCCCCAGTACAAATAAATAAATAACACAATATAGTATTGCCAAAAAGACATAACCTGAACTAACCATAAGGAAAAAAGTCACATAACCCCAAATGAAAAGATGTTCTGTCTTTTGAACTCGAGAAATACCAATGTCATGAAACAAAGGCTGAGGAACTGTTTCAGATGGAAGGAGATTACATGAAGCCAAACACATTGTTTACCCTGGGCTGATTTGAGAATGAAATACTTTTCCCTCTTTTATTATGAAGGACATTAATGAAACAATTGGTGAAACTCAATTAGATAATTCAGTATCCATATTAACTGCTTGCATTTGATTATTGTGCTATGCTTCTGTGACAAGGTCCTTGTTTTCTGGAAATGCACACCAAAGTATTTAGAGATAAATGAGCATCATGTCTGAAATGTACTCTCAAACTGTTTAGGGGAAATTTATATATATTATATATATAACATAATAATATATAATCTATATTATATAATATAATATAGGGTTGCTGGGTGCGGTGACACATACCTGTAGTCCTCAGGAGGGTGAGCAGGAGGACTGATTGAGTGCACAAGTTCAAGGCCAGCCTAGGCCAGATGAGAGCGATGGGGGCAGGGTGGGGGGGTGGAAAACTGTTAACATTTGGGGAATTCAGGTGAGAGGTAATCATAAATTCTTTATATCACTTTTGCAACTTTTCTGTAAGACTAAAAAGTTTTCCTAAATAAAGTTACCCTTCCCTGCAAAAAATAAAAAGCAGATAACTGAACATCTAATGTGAGCATTGCAGCTGGAATTCAGGAACTGAGTGTGGACAAGACATTCTCTTGCCCTACTGGACACCTGGTCTAGCAGGTCATTTTGGCAGCAGATCCAAAGGGGTGAGTTAAGACCTCCATAAAGAGGACAATAATCTGGGCAAGAAATATGGAAGGCTTGAATTAATTAAGGCAGTGCCAACATAATTAGAAGGACATTATAAAAAGAAGGACATTAAAGCGACACTTTTATGATCTGGTGATTAGCTGGACTTGAGTTAGGAAACGAGAAGTTTGGTGAGATGTCTGTTTTCTTACACGGTCCATTGGTGACACCATGGTCCCATTTACCAAGATAGACCAGAAAGTTTGTGGATGAGATGATTGGCTTTGGGCAACTTCTTAGAGGTGCTGAGAAGGGTTGATCTCCAGGCCTGTAATTTGGGAGAGATCTGGGCTTAAATACAGGCCACTGAGGGTGTCATTAGCATGGCAGAAGAAGCCATGAGATAGGAAGTGACTCCTTAGAAAGCATAGCAGAACCCCAGAAATCCCCAACATCTAGGGATTGCAATCCCACCCTCTTTGGCCCACTCAAGAAAGTAGGGCATGGTGGTATATGACTGTAATCCCAGCACTTTGGGAGGCTGAGGTAGGAGGATCACAAATTCAAAACTAGCCTGGGCAACTTAGCAATTTAGTGAGATCCTGCCTCAAAAAATCGAAGGACTAGGAATGTAGCTCAGTGTGAAGGCCCTGGGTTCACTCTCCAGTACTACAAAAAGAAAGGAAGGAAGGAAGGAAGGAAGGAAGGAAGGAAGGAAGGAAGGAAGGAAGGAAAGTGAGAAGGAGGTAAAGGGGGGAAGGAGAGAAAGGAAAGAATGAAGGAAGAAAGAGCATTTTTTGGATTATGTTTCCACTGATGGCTTAGACTATTTGCCAGATTTTCTTCCAGCTAGATGTGTCACTGGGCAGGGGCAGGGTCCCAGGAGAAGGAGGTTTCCACTAAGATAAGGAACCTAGACCCACCCTACCCAGAGAATTAAGGTGCAGGTTTGCTGACTCCTGTGGTAGAAAAAGAATTTTCAGGGGCTGGGGATTTAGCTCAGTGGTACCGCACCTGCCTCACAAGTGCAAGGTCCCTAGTTCAATCCCTGGTACCTGGGCGGGGTGGGGGTGGGGGGGTTTCAGGACTTGTCAGTAAGAGGCATGGAAAGGATTAGGCAGAAATTTAAAAGCACACACTCAAATAGAGCGTGGGCCTCAAGAGACAGAGGGGAGGAGGGAGGGAGAGAGAGAAAGAGAGAGGCCTTATAATCTGGAGGATAATTTTGTGGGCCTTGGGGGTGTCTTCAAGATAGGTGACCTAGGGCCGGGGATGTAGCTCCACTGTGCCTCATCTGCCTATCAAATGCAAAGTTCTGAGTTCGATTCCCAGTACAAAAAAAAAAAGATGGGTAATCTTGGATCTGTATTCCTACTGTCTGCGTGGTTACCCATCTGTCAGGCTATACTAGAACACAAACCATTTACATGTGTTTGAAGTTGACAAATGCTGCCCACTAATATTGTTGCTTCCTTGACAGTGGAGGTCTGTGGGAGGAAGTGCAATTTACAGGTGAAAAGCACAGGCCTAGAGCCCAATTTACAGGCTTATTGTGTCTTTAAGACCTTTAGGATTTGGGGTGCGGGGGGGGGGGTTCCTTGGTTTTTTGTTTGTTTTTTTGAGACAGGGTTTCACTATGGAGTTCAAGCTGGCTTCGAATTTGGGCTCTCTTCCGGCTTCAGCTTCAGCCTCCCAAGTGCTGGGATTACAGGTAGGACTTTCTTTCTTTCTTCTTTTGAGCGAGTTTCCTGGAAGGGAAAAAGGTTTGAGTAACTTTTGTGTCCTGAAGCTACAGTTTTTCTTAAAAGTACAATTTTAAAATTCTGATTTTCCTTGTCACCTTTTTACCTATGGTTATTTTTTCAATCCTACCTCAGATGTGTCACTTTGGAGGTGTCCTAAAATTGTATTTTCACATCTGTAAATAGGAAAATGGGAGTGTAATTGTCTTAAGTACCTCCCATGGCCAACAGAAAATCACTGAGGCTCTAAGTACTGGTTCTTCTAAATTATTATCCTTAAGCTTTGAGCTGACCGAGGAACACTGTATATAGCTCACTGGTACAGCACATGCCCAGCATGCGGAACACAGTGTGTTCTACCCCCAGCAATACAAAAAAAAAATTGAGCTGAGGTTGCTCCAACCATTTTCTGCTTGCTTTGAGTTTTCTGATGTTGATATCTAGCCCTTCCTCCTTGGTGAATTAAAACTTATAATGTCAAATTGATGGTGCTTTGAGTGTACCAAGGGATTTTTTAGGTTAATCCAAATAGCAGGGAATGGGACACTAGACTGAGATAAATAATGAGATAATGTACAAATCTCAAGTGTAGAACTGTGTGATTTTTGACAGTACACACACCCGAGGAATGCAAGTCTCTATCTGTTTATAGACCATTCTCACTACCCCACAAGTTTTCCTTACTCCCCTTGGCAGTTAATCCCTGCTGCTGTCCCCCAAAGACAAGCACCATTCTGTTTACTTCCACCCTTACTTTAAAAAAAACTTCAGGGCCTGGGGCTGTAGCTCAGTGGTAGATTGCTTGCCTAGCATTCTTGTGAGACACTAAGTTCCATCCCCAGCACTACAGAAAAAAAATTGTAATCTTGTAAACTTGAGCAAGTATAGATTCAGGTGGCAGAATGAGGAATACATTTAGGCCTGGGATTTAGCTCAGTGATTCTGGCGCCTGCCTCAAAAGTGCAAGGTCCCCAGTTTGATCACCGGTACCAAAAAAAAAAAAAGAAAAAAAAAAAAGGAATGTACTTAGGCTCTCCGTGGGGAATGTGAAGCTGAGGACTGCTCAGGATCGTTTTTTTTCCCTATGATTTTAAAAAATAAATTTTATTTTATCCCATTCCCCTCTCACGCGCCCTCCCCTCCCTATGTACAAAAGCTTTGTTTCCATTTTTCCCTTCTATTTTTCACTTTTTTTTCTTGTCCCTTCCTTCCTTTCTCCCTCCCTACTCCCTTGTTCCCCTAAATACAGTCTTTTCTCTTCTGCACCAAAAACGTTTTGCAAGAGCTGGCTTCCAGCCATCAGGGTCTTCCCGACTGGGTAGAAGGAGGATTTGTTTAATTGCTTTGTTCTTTCCTTTTTAAATCCGTTTGTGTTTAACCAGACCCAGTTCCAATCTGTTAAGCATTTTAACAACTTTTGTTTGTTTGTTCAAGTAAAAGATAAACTTTAGATATCCTAGTTCAAACTCCAAAGTTTAGGTTCACTGTGCCCCCGCCTCTCCACTCCCACCCCCACCCCTCCCCGTCCCTGCCTGGAGTAGCTTTGCGGGAATTCTTCCAACTGTAGGAGCAGAGGGGTAGCCTTTGGAGGGAGCCGGGGGAGCAAGCCCAGTGCCTTGCTCCCAGGCCTGAGGCCATCCACCTGCCCTGTCACTGTGTTCCAGGGAGTTTCCCTTTCCCCGAAGTCCTTGTGCCTGACCTTGCAGCCACCTGAGAAGTCACAGGTCTGGTGAGTGCCCTGGTTGGACGGGCCTCCTGCCAACCTCATCCCCAGGCGAGGGCGGAGCGAGACCCAAGGGCCCATTCTCCCAACCAGGACCAGCCAGGAGGGCGACTGCCCTGCGCCCACCCCCCCCACCCGGAGAACCCTCGCGGAGCTCCTACAGGCTGGCCTGGGCCCCCGCAGCAGAGTGAGGCCCGCGCTAAGGATGAGACGGGTTTAGCCTTCAGCTTCCCAGTGTCTTGCCATCACTGTCACCTATGCAGTCGCCTAGGCCGCTGCAGCTTCTGGGCTGATGGATGACTCAGACTGTGTGAAGACTGCTCACCTTCGCAGATACCCCAGGTGCAGTACGGGCCTGGCTGCCTTTCTCCTCTCCCAACCGCCCCTTTGCAGCTAGGGCCTGGTGCAGAAATGGGACATTTGTCAGCCTCTGACTTTCGTGACAGGCAGAGCAGTGGGGTTAAAAGTCACTATTGAAAATGGAGCGTCTGATCTTGGGTCTTATCTAAGATTGATTGCATGAAGGCCTTTGGAGTCTGAGCCAATTTTTACCATCCAATGAACATTCCCAATGCGATGAGGCTAACAGTCAGTATTTGAAACAAGTTTTAGATGTGTGTGGGTTTTTGTTTGTTTTTTTTTTTTTGGTACCAGGGATCAAACTCAGGTCCTTGTGCTTGTGCAACAGGCGGTGAAACCACTGAGCTAAATCCCCGGCCCATGGGGGGGGGGTTTGTTTGTTTTGTTTTGTTTTTTAAGTGTAGTTTACTGAGGGAATTTTTCTTCAGATGGGGTGTGAGGCAACCTCTTACTATCTATAGGCTGGCCTTGAACTTCCTACCTAGGCCAGACTATTGAAAGAAATATTAGACCAAAGATCATTTTCCTCCCCTCTCTCACATTCATTTGTCCACCCATGTGTGGGACCACTTAGTTAAAGCAGATAGATAATTGGGCAAAGCCCACAGGTGCCAGCAATTTTTACCAACTGGAAACCTGCCTTTTGAGAGCAGAGTAGGGAAAAGGGAAGGATACTATTAAAAGTTGCCTGTCTCCCACATTGCATTCTTTTTTTTTTTCAGTAGCAAAACATTTATTGGTACATTTTAGGCATACATAATGAGAACACTTATCGCAGGGAATTTGTACCTGTACATGATACATCCCACCTCTTTTTTTCCCTTCCCCTTCCCTCAAGCCCCCTCTCTTCCCTATGTACAAAAGCTTTGTTTTCATTTTTCCTTCTATTTTCTTGTCCGTTCCTTCCTTTCTCCCTCCTTCCTCCCTTGTTCCCCCTCCCCTTTGAATATTTTCTTCCCATTTCCCAATATCTATCATACATTTTAGTCCTTATCTCCACTTTTGGTTTCTCACACCAGAGAAACAATGTGGTATTTAAACATACGTGTCTGATTTATTTCACTTAAGAGTATGGTCTCAAGGTGCATCCATTTAGGTAGAAATGTCTCAAGCTCATCCTTCTTTATGGCAGAGTAGTACTCCATTGTGTTAAAAAAAAAAACCCACATCTTCTTTATCCACTTGTCAGTTGATGGGCATTTGAGCTGTTTCCAAGATTTAGCTATTACAAACTGTGCTGCTGTAAACATGGGTGTGCCTATATCACTGTGATATGATGCTTTTAATTCTTTCGGGAAGATACCAAGAAGGGGAATAGCTGGGTCAAATGGAACCTCTAGTTTTAGTTTTTTGAGAAATCTCCACACTGACTTCCACAGTGGTTGCACCCGTCTACACTCCCACCAACAGTGGAGTCTCACATGGGATTTTTATCTCATCTGTTTTTGTTTTTCTTTCCGATAATTCTTTTTCTTCTCCTAATTTACTGGTCACAGTCTCTGGGCCTAAAGTCCTAGAATAGAATGTTCCTTACTTGTGGCTTTAAAGACTCCTTGCCATACTGGCTCCATGCCTTCCCAGGTGGTGCCTAGCAGTTGTTCTTTTCTCCATTCCTTCCATGTGTGAATTTGGAAATGGATGGGGGATGTTGCTAGGGATGGAACCCAGAGGCTCAAGAATGCTAAGCATGTGCTCTGCTGCTGAGGCACACCTCCAGCTCCTGGATGTTAGCTCTAATTTAGTGCATTATTACTGGTGAACAGATTTCTAAAAATACAGATCAGGAAGGCCCTGGCCTCCAAGGAGATCAATAGCACTGATAGGTAGAGGAAGAGAGGACAGCAGGAGAAGGTGACCTGTAGACACCCAGAGGAGCCACCAATGAGGGAGCTGCCTGCCCCCTGACCATCCTTGGGGGCCAGGGTACTGGCATAAAAGGCAGCCTTGCACTCTCCGAACAGCCAGTTCTCTGAGGATCACCAGCACCAAGGTTTGGGTGTCAGAGTAGTCACTCTTCTTTTATAAAGACAGCTTGAAAAAAACCCTCACTGGTAAGTTGATTGAAGATGTCTCCTGTTATCTCCTATCAGCTCTTTCTTCTTCCTCCTCCATGTCTCCTCCTGTCACATTGCTTACCTTATTCTGACTTTGGGAAAGCAAGCCCAGCTTTTCCAGTTCTTATCAAACACAGCCATACCTCTGAGAGGTTGTGGGTTGGGTTTCAGACCACTGTGATAAAGCAAATTTCAAAAGAAAATGAGACACAAGGTTTTTTTTGTTTTTTTGGATTTTTTTGGTACTCGAGATCGAACTGGGGTCCTTGCGCTTGCGAGGCAGACGGAACCACTGAGCTAAATCCCCGGCCTGAGACATAAGTTTTTTGGTTTCCCAGTGAATATCACAGTTATGTTCATACAACACAATGGTCTATTAAGTATGTGGTTGCATTGTACTGTAAAAATGTACAGACCTTAATTTAAAAAATATTTTATTGCTTAAAAAAATGCTAAGGATCACCTGGGCTGTTGGAAAAATGGTGCTTATAGACTTGTTCAATGCAGGGTTGCCACAAACCTTCAATTTATAGAAAAAATGCAGTATCTGCAAAGCACCATAAAATAAAGTATGCCTGAGATTTTTACCAAGGTCTCAAGCTAGGTATGGTGCTGAATTGGCTGAATGTAATTCAACTTCACTTGATCTCTGTTATCTTCAGTAGGTGGCTGCATGACAATGTCTTCCATTAAAATTGAGTGTGTCTTGCCTGAGCACTGCCGGTGCGGTGAGTCTCCAGTATGGGAGGAAGCGTCCAACTCTCTGCTCTTCGTAGACATTCCTGCAAAACGAGTTTGCCAGTGGGATTCACTCACCAAGCAAGTGCAGCGAGTGACGATGGGTAAGCAAAGGCCTGACTCACATCTTTGCAGTCAGGCATCTTTTCCCAGGGAAGGAGCAGTCATCATGCTTGTCCTTCCCCTGGGATCTCCTTATTAAAGCATACTGAATATGCTCTAAGACCTTTTGGCTTGTCATGCTGTCTGTGTCGCACTCCATGTCCTCCCACTTTGACCCAGGAGTAAGTGTTAGATCACCAGTACCTTCCTCATCCTCTTCCAGTGAGGAGAAACACTCCTAGTATCTATCTGTCCTTGACACCTTCACATAACAGCATTGAAATTTGAAGACTACATTAGTGGCACACCAAAGGTCATCTGCCTTGGGTCAAGCCAAGACCTTAATTTAAAGAAAAATAAATAACAAGTTTATCTCTTCTTTGTGTATGAAAAGGTCGTTTGCATGTGAAGAGGTCAGAGTATAGCTCAGTGATAGAGTACTTGCCCAGCATGAGTTCCATTCCCCAGCACTGGGGGGATAAAGTAACAACCAGGCCTATAAAGATAGGCACTTCACTGCACAAATGTAGAATTCTGATGGAATCCTGTGTGCATTTCAGTGTGATTTCATTTAGGGCCCTGTGGTTTCCAGAGAAGGAGTCTATTGCTTTCTATGGCTCAAGGCAATGGGCTGATGTGATTAGTGATAGAGAAAGAAGTTTCTTTTTATTTTATTGTGTTCATGAGAATAAGATACCAGGAATTCCTGTAATCTTGGGAATATACAAGAATTCCTGGTATCTCTTCCCATGAATCCAATTAGGGACCACAGTCAATCTCTCTCTGTCTCTGTCTCTCTCTCTCTCTCATCCTAGGGATTGGAACCCAGGGCCTTGCATTTACTGTGCCAACTGAGCTACAGGCCCAGCCTCCTAGAAACAGACTTTTTTCCTAGCAGTATTAGTGATTGAACTCAGAGCCTTTGCACTGAGTTACATCCCCAGCCCCTTTTGTATTTTTAAATTTTCAGACAGGGTTTCACCAAGTTGCCCAGGCTAGGCTTGAATTTTCCAGCCTCCTGTCTCAGCCTCTCAGAGTCCTGGGATCACAGGCGGTGCCACCACACCCAGCTTGGGAACAGCTTTTTTACTAGGAATCTGACTGCTGCTGGAGGCAAAGTGACTGTGGCCTCTGAGAGCAGAGTGGAGTATGGACCCATCGCCTTCCCTAGTATGTTCCTTCCAGCATGTACACCTGCCTACCCTAATCTGAAAAATGCCTCTACCAGCACATGAGAAGGGCTGGTGGTGTCCACAGGAGCTTGGAAAGCTACCAGGAGGAGTCTCAAGCCACAGAGGTCCTTGATGAAAGTGCAACCCTCCTTGTAGTGTCCCACACATTCCCTGGGAGCCTCAATGGCTTGAATCAACCTCTGAGCAGAGCTTTGAGCTAAGAGCACCCAATACTTTGCACTGATTAGGTGCTTTAGGAAATTTCTGATAAATTTATTTCCTATGACTGTTCACCCTGGTAATCAATCTGTCCACTTTAGTTTTTTGGGGGTAGGGTGCTGGGGATCAAACCCTTAGCTTCAAACATGCTAGGCAGGGGCTCTACCACTGAACTACAGCCTCAGCCCTAATCTCTCCACTTTTTTTTTTGATACAGAGTCTCACTATGTAGTTCAGGCTGGTGTTGAACTCACTATGTAGCCCAGGCTGGCCTTGAATTTGAGGTGATGTTCCTCCCTCAACCTCCTGAGTGCTGGGATTATGGGTGTGTGCCACCACACTTAACTAATCTCTTCACTTTAAAAAAATAGTTTTTAGGTCTGGGGGTTTAGCTCAGTGATAGAGTGTGTGCTTAGCATGTACAATGACCTGGGGTTTAATCACCAGCACCCCAAAAATATTTTCTTATATATAGAGAAATAACAAGCTCAGAAAACCTAAAATTTCAAAATACAAAATGTAGTAATATAATGAAGAGATGTGATTACATTATCACTGCATCTACATTCCTATTTATTTTTCACCATGATTCCTTCCAAAGAAGATTTGAGAAACAATTTTCAATTGAATACGCAAAAAAGCCCCTTTAAAAACATAAGAGTTAGGGCTGGGAATGTGGTTCAGTGGTAGAGCACTTGCCTAGGATGCAGAAAGTCCTAAGTTTCATCCTCAGCACCACAAAAAAGACAAATATTATATTAGAAGAGGAGAGCAATGTTATAAAACCTAGTTGCTGGAAATAAATACAGTTTGCATCTGTGAACTCCCTGGAGATCAGATAATTTGAGCATAGCACATTCTGTGATGACCCCTGGTGCCCTTCGATTAGGAACCACTCCTCTGAACTTGATGTGGCACTTGCTCCAATGTATTGCAGCTGCTGTGTGGTTTGTCCTTTTTTTTTTTTTTTTTTTTTTTGAGAGACAGACAGAGTCTTGCTATGTTCTAAGCTGGCCCAGAACTTGCTATATAGTCCATGGTGGCCTTGAAATCTTCATCCTCCATGCCTCAGCCTCCCTCTGCTGCAGCAGCTGCTGTAGTTTGACTCCTCCCCTCTTTCTCCCAGGAGCCTGGGAACATTCCAAAGAGTAGGATTGTATTCAACTTTCTGGATTTGCTGCCTAGAACAGTGCACAGAGTTAACACTCAACAAATATACAAGGTTAGGGCCGGGATTTAGCTTAGTGGTTCCGGTGCCTACCTCGCAAGCATAAGGTCCCGAGTTCAATCCCTGGTACCAAAAGAAAAAAAAAGTAAAATAACAAATATACAAGGTTATGCAGGCTTTCTTATTCAACAAGGAGAAATAGCACACTCCCATTGTCAAAAGTGCTGGGCTTGGGCCAGGGATTTAGCTCAGGGGCACCGAACCTGGGTCCCAAGCGCAAGGTCCTGAGTTGGATCCCAGGTACCGCCCCCCCCCCAAAAAAAGTGCTGGGCTTCTCTCAAAGATGTTAGGTGACAAGATGGCCTCAGTGTGCTACTCAGCCCCTGGACTGTGTACCACCTTCTAAAAACTACTGCTTTTGACTCTACAGATGCCCCAGTCAGCTCAGTGGCTCTTCGCCAGTCAGGAGGCTATGTCGTCACCATTGGAACAAAGTTCTGTGCTTTGAACTGGAAAAATCAATCAGTAGTAGTCTTGGCCTCCGTGGATCAAGATAAGAAGAACAATCGATTTAATGATGGAAAAGTGGATCCTGCTGGGAGATATTTTGCTGGTATGGTCTCTTTTTAGCCCCTACTTTGTTCAGCTTTGCAAGAAACACTATGATTTAGAAAGTTCTGACTGCTATAGTAGTCAAAGTGTTATTCAAATGAGTTTCGGGTTCTTTTTTTTTGCAGTGCTGGGGATTGAACCCAGGACCTCATGGATGCTAGGCAAGCGTTCAAGCCCTCAGCTATGCCCTCAAGCCTTTTCTTTTATTACTGCTTGCGTAACTTGTACCACTAAAAAAAAAATCCTATGAGAAAATCTTGCTAGATATTCTTTTCAATTCTGTCTCTAGCAGAAACTAAAATCTATATGGTGTTTTTGTGGCTTAAATTAGTTTTTTGTTTTTGTTTTTGTGTTGGTACCAGAAACCGAACTCACGACCTTGCGAGGCAGGCACTGTGCCACTGAGCTAAATCCCTGGCCCTTAAATGAGTTTTAAATACAGAGATTTTGTTGTTTAAATTGGAATTTCTTTTTTTGTTGTGCTGGGGGTGAAACCCAAGGCCTCAAGAATGCCAGCCAAGTACTCTACCCCCATCCCCCATAAACTGAAAATAATTTCAAATTTACAGAAAAGGTAAGAATAGTACAACTATCATCCACATACCTATTGTCACCTGTTGTTAACATTATGTTCCCCTAGCTTTAACATTTGTTCTCTATGTCTAAACATAATTTTCCCCAGAATCATTTGAGAATAGGCTGCATATATATCATGTGCCTCTACCCTGAAGTACTTCTGGGTGAGATTCCCAAGAAAAAGGGGTACTCTTACATGACTACAATATAGTTATCAGCTAAAAGAAGTTTAACGTTGATAGACTAATTTTGTCCGACATATTGTCTATATTTGAGTTGTGTCTATTAATTGAATAATGTCCTGTATAGAATTTTTCCCTCCCATAAAGGATCCAGTCTAGGATCATGTTTTGTACTTACATATTTTATCTTTTCATCCTCTTAATCTGGAACATTTCTGTGGCCTTTCTTTGTTTTTTGTGACAGAGACATTTTGAAAGGATATGGTCTCCCCAACCCTTTAATGGAACATTCTTCATTTTGTAATTGTCTGATGTTTCCTTGTGGTTGGCTTGATATTCTACAGTACATTCTTGGCTAGAATACTGTGTAGGTGATGCTGTGCCCTTCTCAGGGTAACCGATCTGAAGGCATATGATGTCCATCTGTCCCACATTGATGATGTTAATGTTGATGACCTGGTTAAGGTCCTGTCAGATTTCTCTACAGCATAGTAACTGTTTTGTTTTGTTTTGTTTTCAGTAGTGAGGATGAAACCTAGGGCCTTGCACATACTAGGAAAGTGCTCTACCACTGAGCAGAACCTTTTTAATTTTTTTATTTTTAGCTAGGTATGATGGTGCAAACCTGTAATCTCAGCACTCAGGAGGCTGAAACAGGAGGATCACCGCAATTTCAGGGACAGGCTAAACTGCGTACATACTAAGACCCTGTTTCAAAAAAAAATTTCTTTTTAATTTTTGAGACAGGATCTTGTTAAGTTGCCCAGATTGGCCTCAAACTCAAAATCCTTTTGCCTCAGCCTCCCAAACAGCTGGGATTACAGACCTGCATCATCACACCTGGCCCTGTTTTTTAATTGTCACTTATAAGAATTTGTGGAGTTTGTTATCTACTGTTGTGTAACAAATTACCCTGAAACTTAGTGGCCTATCATAACAAATATGTATTAGCTCACATAGTCTCTTAAAGTCAAGCTAGATGGTTCTAGTGCAGGCTGTCTCACAAGCTGATAGTCAGGGCTGTCAACTGGGTACCTGAAGGATATGCTTCCAAGTTCATTCCTGTAGGAAGGAAGCCTCATTTCCTCACCATGTGGGCCTCTCAGTAGGGCTGCTCAGGACATGACTTTTCTTTTCCCAGAGCTAGTGATGAGAGGGAGAGGAAAACGGAGAGACTCAAGATAGGTAAATCTTAGAAGTGACATACCATCAATTCTGCCCTGTGCTGTTGGTCACATAGATAAGGATGGGAGGCCAGAGAAGACTGTACGAAGCTGTGAATCCTGGGAGGCAGGGAGCTTTAGGTGTGATCTTGAGGCTGGCTATGGAGAGATTCATTAAGTCCACATAAATACTCTGGTCCTTAACCAAATTTCTCCTTAGGTTTTATATTCACTGTTTTTTATTTATTTATTTTTGAGACAGGGTCTCACTATGTAGTTCCAGCTGGCCTTGAACTCGCTATATAGCCCAGGTTGACCAAGCCTGGCTTATATTCACTGTTAATTCTTGCCTGAATGAAACTTTTTTTTGTGGTGCTACAATTGAACACAGAGCCTCACACATGCCAGGCAAGAGCTCTACCACCAAGTAACATCCTTGGCCCATTTAATTTTTTTTTTATTTTGAGACAAGATCTTGCTAAATTGCCAAGACTGGCCTTAAACATGTGATTCTCAGGTGGGCATGGTGGCACATACCTGTGATCCCAGCACTGGAAGGCTAAGGCAAGAGGATTAGGGGGAGTTGGAAGCCAACCTGGGCTACACAGTGAGTTCAAGGCCAGCCTGAACTACATAGTGAGACCCTGTCTCAAAAAACCAATAAACAAACAAACAAACAAACTTGTGATTCTCTTGCTTGAGCCTCCTGAATTGCTGGGATTATAGGCATGTACCACTGCACCCAACCTGGTCATCATTTTCTGCAAGGCAGATAGTGCAGAGAAATACTCATTGAGTCAAACCCACCAGTCCTGTAGGAGATAATTACTAAGTGATTACCCTTCTTCCCAGGGAGGGAAGGTCTACCCTGTCTTGCTTGCTATTCAGCTTTCCATTTTTAGTCCATTTTCTTCTTCTAACTTGCTTTTCTTGTTTTTTGTTTTTTGTTTTGTACCGGGGATCGAACTCAGGACCTTGTGCTTTTGAGGCAGGCGCCGGAACCACTGAGCTAAATCCCCAGCTTTTAACTTGCTTTTCTTTCAGATGAAATGTGATATAATAGATGAGCTTTCCAGTTTCTTCATTATAATCAGATTCTTCTCTGTCCCCTGAGATCCCACTAAAGTCCATCTAAGTGATTTTTTTTTTTTGAAATAAGGTCTTTATATAGTCTAGGGCTGTCTTGAAATTGCTATGCAGCCCAGGCTGGCCTTGAACTCATGATCCTCCTGTCTCAGCCTCCTGAATGCTGGGATCACAGGTGTGTGCTACCACACCCCACCCCATTTAAATGAATACTGAATAATGATTCCAACAATGAAATATTCCATTCTCCTGCTGGTGTGTGGAGTGTTTTATAGGTACTGGTATAAATCAGAATTCAGTTGGCTGACAGCATTCAGTTCTTTTATATCTTTGCTGATTTTCTGTTTACTGATATTGATTGCTGATAGGGATATTGATAGACTCCAGACAGAGGAATATTGATAGGCTCCAACTATAAGACTATATTTTTCTATTTCTCCTTTCAGTTCTGACATCTTTGTGTATTTTGAAGCTCTGTTGTTAAACACATACACATTTAAGATAACTATATGTTCTTAGTGAATTGACATTTTCAATATGTAGTTACCCTTTTGTCCTTAAAATCATTATTCCTCTATATGTGATGTATCATTTTTTTCTTTTCATTCATTTTTTTGATTGCTTTCAAGCATTTTTTGCTTGACTTTAGTTTTCAGTAATTTGGTTACAGTGTGTCTGGGTTTGGGTTTCTTTGTGTTTATCCTGTTTTGGATTTGTTCTGCTTCTTGAATCTAGTTTTATACTTTTCACCAAGCTTAAGGAGTTTTGAGCCATGTAATCTTCAAATTTTGGGGGCGAGTGTACTCTTTCCTCTGGGAACCCAGTTATGCATTGGGCCTTTTGTTGTTGTCCCATGGATGCCTGAGGCTCTGTTCCTTTTTCCCCCAATCTTTTTTTCTCTGCCATTCAGATTGTGTAATTTCTATTGATCCATCATCAGGTGCACTGACTCTTTCCTCTGTCATCACTATCCTACTAATGATGAATAGATCCAGTGAGTCCTAAAATTTCTTTTCTAAAATTTTCATTTGAGCCAGGTGTGGTGGCACAGACTTGTAATCCCAGCACTCAGGAGGCTGAGGTAGGAGGATCGCAGTGAATTCAAGGCCAGCCTGGGCCACATAGTGAGACCCTGTCTCTAAATAAATAAATAAATAAATAAACAAACAAACTTTCATTTGGTTTTCCTTCATATCTTCTACTTCTTTGCTGTCATTTTCTAGTTTGAGTTTTGTTTCAAGACTGTTTATAATAATTTAAGTTTCTATGACAGTTGCATTAGTCTTTGACAATTCCAACATCTATGCCATATCATTTTCAGCATTTGTTGATTTCTTTGATTTGATTTGTTGATTTTTTTTACACAAGTTGAGATTTTCATGCTTCTTGGTGTTTCCAAGTATGTGAGTATTAGTAGGAGATAGGAAGAAGTATTAGTAGGAGAAGAAGAAAAAGAAAAAAGGTTTATGTTAGCTTGTGGTTCCAGTTCATGATCAAGTGGTCCCATTGCCTTAGCAAGGCAGCACATTATTGTGAGAACAGAGTGGAACAAACTGCTTACCTCACGAGCCAGGAAACAAAGGGCAACTGGACCTGCCAGTCCTACAGTCCTCTTCAAGAGAATACCCCAAGTGACCTAAGGATTGCCCACAATACCTACTAAGGATTCACAGCACCTCCCAGTAGCAGTACTCTGGAGACCAAGCCTTTAACAGTGGACCTTTGGGGGCCACTCAGTATCCAAATTACAGTGCCAAGTAATTTTTTGAGACAAAAATCTCACTATGTATCCTAGGCTGGCCTCAAACTCATGATCCTTCTGCCTAACCCCCCAGAGTGCTGGGATTACAGGCATGTGCCACCACGCCTAGCTTTATTTTATTTTACTTTATTTTATTTTATTTTTTGGTACCAGGGATTGAACTCAGGATCTTGTGCTTGCCAGGAAGGCACGGTGCCATTGAGCTACATCTACAGCTAGCCTTTTTTTAAAAAAATAGTTGACCCCAAGGAATGCTGAGCTACATCCCCAGTCCTTGTTTGTTTGTTTGTTTGTGATAGTCTTGCCTAAATTGTCCAGGATGGCCTTGAAGTTTAAGTCCATCTCCCAAGTAGCTGGGATTATAGGAATTCTCTCCTGCCTCAGCCATACCTGGCAGCAATAGAGTTAAAAAAGAGAAAAAAATAGAATAAGCATTAGGCATGGTGGTGCACACTTGTAATCCCAGCACTCAAGAGGCTGAGGCAGACAGATCGCTGTAAGTTCAAGGCTAACCTGGGCTATATAGTGAGTTCAAGGCCACCTGAATTACATAGTGAGACTATGTCTCAAAAAACCAAAAACCAAAACAAAACAAAACAAAAAAACGGAATAAAATTACCAGGTATGGTAGTTCACACCTGTAATCCCAGCAATCTGGGAGGCTGAGGCAGGAGGATCTCGATGTTGAACTTAACCCAGGCAACTTACCAACTTAGTGAGATCCTGTCTCAAAATAAGAAAACAAAACAAAACAAAGGACTAGGGGATGTAGTTCCATGTGAAAAGCCTGGGCTTAATTCCCAGTACTACAAAATAAAGAAATAAAAGCAATACTGGTTGGATCTCCCCTTTGGAGCTACATATAACTTCACCAAATAAAGAGGAATGTCTTCTTCCCTCAGAGTTTTGACGGCATTAGTTTCCTATTGCTGGCCACTCTCTCTGCTGCCCCTGCTGCAGAATTGTCTGGGGCCTGGGTGCACAAGACAATATTGAAAACGGAGTAGAAAATAACCCTGGGCTTTCTTCCACTCCTTCTGAGCTTCAGGAATTCTGAGTGTGTGTGTGTGTGTGTGTGTGTACATGCATACACGCGTGCAGTGCTGGGGATGGAACTCAAGACCTCTTGTATGCTAGGTGAGTGCTCTACTACTGAGCTACACCCCCAACCCAGGAATTTATTTCTGCTCCTTGAGCCAAATCTAGGGGGTTTCTCTTAGATCTCTGTCTATCTGCACCACTGTACCCCTCTCCAGATTTCAGGCTGTACTGACTTTAAGCTGGAAAATATTGAAGAAGAAAATGAAGAGAGCTCACCACCAATTAGGTGGCACTTCAAATTCTGCTGTTTTTCCCTGAGCTGCATGCTAACACTTTCAAAGTTTTCAAGTAGCTATACCATGAGTACAGGTTTTATAGTTGTGCTCAGCAGGAGAAAATGAGATTGATGCATGTTTACTCTTTCTTATTTGGAACCAGAACTTCTCAGCATAGTGTTAATTTGCATTATAAACAAGATAGTTGTATTTTTTTCTTTTCTTTTTTTCCCCCTTATTTTGGCGGTACTAGGGATTAAACCCAAGGAGCATCGAGCTATATCCCCAGCTGTATGCATTTATTTATTTATTTATTTATTATTTTTTTATTTTTTTTTGGTACCGTGGATCGAACTTGGGACCTTGCGCTTGGAAGGCAGGCGCCAGAACCACTGAGCTAAATCCCCAGCCCTATTTATTTATTTTTGAAACAGAGACTTACTAAGGAGCCCAAGCAAGCCTTGAATTTAATTTAATTTTTTTTTTTTTTGGTACCGGGGGTCGAACTTGAGACCTTGTGCTTGTGAGGCAGGCAGGGGAACCACTGAGCTAAATCCCCGGCTCAGGCCTTGAATTTTAGACCCTCCTGCCTCAGCCTCTGTTATAGCTGGGATTACAGGCATGTGCCACCACACTCAGCAGTAGTCATCATTTTATAAAAATATTAGACCCAGATTGCAACTGTATAGTAATTTCCTTGTTTTAATCCCTGAAAGGATCCCTGGTGCGAGATAAAGGTGCCATACATGGGCAAGATGCTGTGGGGCTGATCTCATGATTTTTGGCTTTTGTAGGCACCATGGCTGAGGAAACCGCCCCAGCAGTTCTTGAGCGACACCAGGGGGCGCTCTATTCCCTCTTTCCTGACCACCATGTAAAGAAGTACTTTGACCAGGTAGACATCTCCAATGGTTTGGATTGGTCCATGGACCACAAAATCTTCTATTACATCGACAGCCTATCCTACTCCGTGGATGCCTTTGACTATGACCTGCAGACAGGAAAAATCTGTATGTACTTTATTATTTTTCTCCATACAGGTGCTTATTGTTTTCAATGCTTGTCACTAGTGAGGCAATTCTCTCTCAACTCATATGCAGAGAGCTTTCCAATATTATTATTGCAATATAATAACAATTACACAGACTTGACTAAGCTGCTGGTCAAACCATTGCCCTCAGCACAATGAAAATATGGTCATCATTGGCCTAAAATAGATAGAACCTTAATCATTTTTCCACCATCACCGGAAGGAGCTCACTAGAAAATGCATCCCGTAGTACCAGAAGGTGACTATAGACAAATAATGTACAATAGAATGAGATAAAAGAGTAGACAATTTGAGTGTGAGTTGGTAATTCTTTTTTTTCGTTTGGTAATACTAGTGATGGAATCCAGGGCCTTGTACGTGCTGGGCAAATGTTTTACCACTGAGCTACACCTCCAGCCCTCTTTTTAAATTTTATTTTGAGAAAGATCTCACCAAGTTGATGAGGCTGGCCTCATACCTACGATCCTCCTGCCTCAGCTTTCCAAGTAGCTGGGATCATAGGCATGTGTCACTGTACATGGCTGGCTAGGTTGCTATTTCTTATTTGTACTTTAATTAATGATAGGCAAGTACTCAGAGGCAAAATGGATAACCTTTGAAAGTGGAAAAGCAAAAAAAGTAGTTACAGGTTGGTTCAATTGCACTGATGTGTTATAAATGAACTATTGTTAGAAACTAGAAGGGCAGGAATTAATCAGAAGAATTTAGAAGAGTTCTTGAAACTGTTAATAGGTGCTGGATCAAAAAAGCAAAACCAATCATAAAAATGACTTGAAAAAAATCATAAGACTCTTCAGCAGATTTAATCAGAGGCAAAATATTCCAGTTCAAATATTTTGCTTTGAAATATGTAGTGCTCATTTTTTATGACCGTTTTAACCAATTTTCTTTATACGTGGTTTTAATTTTCCATTATACTCTTATCTGATTATTGTAGTGACTAAGATTTTCTTTCCTCCTTTACTAGGGATTGAACTCAGGGTCTCATCCCCCTGCACTGCCACTGAACTACATGCCCAGCTTTAAATTTTTTTTAAAATTTCGAGACAGGCTGTAACTGTGTAGCCCCGAGAAACCTCAAATTTACAATCCTCCTGCCTCAGCATCCTGAGTGCTGGGATTACAAGGATGTGCCTCCAACCTCTGACTCCTCCTCTGGCTTTTTTTTCCCACAATACTGAGTATTGAACCCAGGGCCTTCACACTGATCTACATCCCCAGTCTTTTTATTAAAAAATTTATTTTTGTTTTGAGACACAGTCTCACTAAGTGCTAAATTGCCCAGCCTGGGCTCAAACTTGTAATTCTCTTGCCTCAGCTTTCCAGAGTACTGGAATTACAGGCCTGTGCTACCATGCCTAGTTTCCTCCCCTAGCTTTTGTTTGGTTTTTTGTGTACTGTGATTTCTCCCTTTAACCAGCCAGTGGGTCTTGGAATACCCCTCTTTTTGAAAGCAAGCTCTTCTAATATTTAGTCTTGATTTTTTTTTGTTTTTTGTTAGGGTCTCACTATGTAGCCAAGGCTGGCCTCAAACTCGCAGTCCTCTTATCTCAGCCTCCCAAGTGCTGGGGTTATAGGCATGCACCACCGCACCTGGCTTTTAGTCTTGATTTTGGAACATTTCATCAGGCAGAAAAAGAACTCATATGTCTTTCAAGTTTTGTGCATGAACTGTTCAAGTGGCACCATTAGGTTGCCTTTTAGATCTTGGGCTTAAAGCAGGCATTTTTGTAACTAAAACAGCAAAGGTCTAAGTACCTGAAATGGGCCTGCACCATCTCATTCCAGGTCAGCCTCAGCGAGAACTACTGGTGTTTTATTAAGAAGTATCTCCTAGTACTTGGGAGGTGGAGGCTGGAGGATCCCGTGAGTTTGAGACCAGCCTGGGGTACATAGTGAGTTCAACGCCAGCCTGCACTATAAAGCAAGACCCTGTCTCAAAAAAAACATTCTACTCACTTATTTTTCTCCTCCTCTGAAAGCTTAGGCAGATATGTCTGTACCCAAACAAAAAAAGGAAATGAATCTACCCCAAAATATGTGGTAAAAATCCTTTATTCACATGCCAGAGCCTGGACGAGCAGAAGCCATTAGTGTTTATAATCAGTTTGAGAGCCCATTGTCCAATTCTCAGTACTGAGTAGGCTGTTATTTTGTTGTGTTTTTGTTCTTGTTTTTGAACCTCAGCAAACCGCAGAAGTGTTTACAAGCTGGAGAAAGATGAGCAAATCCCAGACGGAATGTGTATTGATACTGAGGGGAAGCTGTGGGTGGCCTGTTACAATGGAGGAAGAGTGATTCGTTTAGATCCTGTGACAGGTAGGCCCACAGCAAAATGAGAACTCCCTGGCATGTCTGGAAAACACCACATACTAGGGAACAAGGATAGCTTGTTAGTAATAAAGAGAGAGAGATCTAGTTAGTGGTCTCAATTGGATAACTTTGAAAATAAAGGCCAAAGATATAGCTGAAAATTTATAGTTAAAATTTCTTTTTCCTGTAAGGAAGACAAGTTAAATACATGGAAGAATTCTGACCTCCACAGTCTTCTTTAAAATGTCTGTGTTTCCCTGAAAAGGGTCCAGAAATATTGCACAGGCTGGAAATTGCTAGAACTAAACATTAAATATTTGGTGATCTAGGGAAAAGACTCCAAACTGTGAAGTTGCCTGTTGATAAAACAACTTCATGCTGCTTCGGAGGGAAGGATTACTCTGAAATGTATGTGACCTGTGCCCGGGATGGAATAGACCCTCAAGGTCTTTTGAAGCAACCTGAAGCTGGAGGGATTTTCAAGGTGATATGGGTCTTTCTTTGTGTGTGTGTGTTGGGGGTGGGGGTGGGGATGAGGTGGCGACTCCTCTGTTAAGTGTCTAAGGGACTGGTGCTTTGCGGTCCTCCAAAACCTAGTTCAATTTAGCATGTTAAGCTCATCACGCTAGACCTAACAACATTTTATTTAGATATTCTAGACCAGTGGTGGTGAACCTATGGGACATGTGCGCCATAGCAGGCTGTTAGTATCACTGAAATCTCTAAAAGTTTTACCATCGCTGTTCTAGACTGTAGGTTATCTGAAGTCCAGGACAATGTTTAACATACTTTGTACAGTATTTTAAAATATTTTTTGTGCTTCAGTGGTATTTGTTGAAATCCTTCACATTAGCATGATAAACTTGGAAACCCAGTGTTTGAAACATGTTTATAAAATCACTTGTTTGTTTTGATGTCATAAGAATACTTTTAGGTGGTTTTTGGTGGGGGAATGAGACAGGCTGAGACATAGTGAGTTCAGGGTGGCCTTGAACTCACTATGTTGCCCAGGCTGGTCTTGAACTCACAGCAATCCTTCTGCCTCAGCCTCCCAAGTGCTAAGATTACAGGCCTGCCACACTACTCCCAGCTATTTTCGGTTTTGTTTTGTTTTTGTTTTTGTTTTTGACAAAAGAACAAACACTGATAAAAAAAAATCAATGACCTTTTGAGCTGAAAAGAAATGTATAAATGTAGAAAACCCCTTCTTAAAAGGGAGGAAGATAATAGAAATACATTCCATTTTTAAAATCTAAATCATAGTGGTTGCTAGTTGGATTATAATCTGTGTGAATAATTGGGTTGGACCATAAATATCTTACTGAGTAATTCTTTTTTTTTTTTTTTTGGTACCGGGGATCGAACTTGGGACCTTGCGCTTGGCAAGGCAGGCGCTGGAACCACTGAGCTAAATCCCCGGCCCCTTACTGAGTAATTCTTTTCTTTCCTTTCCTGTTTTAATACTAGGGATTGGACCTAGGGCCTTCACAGTGAGCTACATCCTCTACCCTTTTTTATTTTGAGACAGGGTCTTATCAAGTTGCTAAGTTGCCCAGGCGAAGGTTGCAATTATAGTACTCCTGCCTCAACCTCCCAGAGTGCTAGAATTACAGGTCTGAACCATCACACCTGGCTAAGTAATTTTTTATAATAGAAAATAAAGCAAGGATAGCAGGGCAGCTAAATATATTCTTATGAATCATAACAATGCTTTAGAAGAATATTTGTGATTATCTTTTATCAAAGTTTCTTTTCTTTTTTCAACAGATAACTGGCCTGGGGGTCAAAGGAATTGCCCCCTATCCCTATGCAGGCTGAGGGACAGGTCTTCTTTCCTGCTGCAGGAAGCTTTGAAGACAACTGGAGAATTCAGGAGCTGAAATTTCAATCTAGTTATAAAAATGAAGCAATGATATTATTAACTGGATTAATTTTAATGTATAATTTGGGAGGTGCTGGAGATTGAACCCAGGGCTTACCACATGCTAAGCATTTGCTCCACCATGGAGCTACAACCCCAGCCTCATTAATTTATAATTTTTCAAAGGCAAGCTGGGCATGGTGGAGCACGCCTGTAGTGCCAGCACTCGGGAGGTAGAGGCAGGAGGATTGCTGCAATTTCGAGGCCAGCCTGGGCCACATAGTGAGTTCAGGGCCAGCCTGAACTATGTAGTGAGACCCTGCCTCAAAAAAAATTTTTTTTTCAAAAGCAGAGAATTTTTAACAGAGGATGACAGGTGGTTTTGATAATACACTATAAGGCCTTCTATAAAAAGGTCTGTAGAGCTGGGCATGGTGGTGCACGCCTGTAATCCCAGCACTTGGGAGGCTGAGGCAGGAGGATTATGGTGAGTTTGAGGCCAGCCTGGGCTACACAGTGAGTTCAAGGCCAGCCTGAACTACATAGTGAGACCCTGTCTCAAAAAACAAAAACAAAAACAGGTCTATAGAAAGGCGAAAGGTTGTTCAACTGTCTCCCAGCCTTTTGATTCTTTGGAAATTGCTCAGAGGGGTTGGAAAGGGACCATACCTGTTCCTTATTCTGCATTCTATACTTACTATATACCTAAATCTTCAAAAAACTAATAAATAGGGGGCTGGGGATTTAGCTCATTGGTTCTGCCACCTGCCTCGCAAGCGAAAGGTCCCTAATTTGATCCCCAGTACCAAAAGAAACCAAACTAATAAATAGGAACTTAGTAATGAATTACTACAATTATGTTCCCTTTTGTTTTCATTTTAATCTTATAAAGTATACCGTGATGCTAATATATCTTGTTATTACTCTTTTTGTTGTTCTTGGTTTTTTTTAACCTGTTATTACTCTTCCTACATGTTATTTTACAAACTAAAATACCGCTGGAGGACGCAAATACTGGTAAAATCCATGGTTCCAACTGCCACCTACTGGATATAAAAGTAATAGATCACTTTGGAAAGATTTATTTGAGTAGCTTTTGAGCTATAATTAGTTTGTACATATTTAAAACAAATGTATCAAATATATACACATTAGTGATACTGACACCACAAACAAGATAATGATTCTGTCCACTACTGTCCTTCTCTCATTGCTGAGACAAAATATCTGACACTCAGAGTTAAAAGAGGAAAGGTTTATTTTGGCTCACAGATTATAGAGGTTTCAGTCCATAGTAAGCTGGCTTCAAGGCAGGGTGGTATGGCAGAGAGGCATCACAGAGCAAAAACAGTCCATGGCAGTGAGGCAGGCAGGCAGAATGCAGCAAAGCAGAGAAGTAGCAGCAGCAACCAGACCTGCCTTTATATTTCATCCAAGCCACCCACCCTTTGGGCAATTCAGCATCACACCCTTAATCTCAGAATCACACACCCTAGATCCAGCCACCTGGGAAAAGCCTCACCTATGAATGCATGAGGCTTTGAGGGAACATCTAGACACAAGCCTAACAAGTACCCACAAAACTTTCCATATGTTCCACTGTAATCTTTCCTTTGACCACTGTGAATGCCTGTTCTGATTTGTTACTATTAATTAGCCTCAAAATTGGGTGGTGTAATTTCTCCAATTTTATTCTTTTTCAAAATTACTTAGCTATTCTTTTGGCCTTCGGTTTTATTTTATTTTTTGGTGCTGGGTATTAAACCCAGGGCCTTGTAATGTTGAACATACATCACTGTGCTACACCCCGGCCCCATTATAAATTTTGTTTTTATTTCTGTACTTCTTTGGTTATTTTTTTCCGTACTGTACTGAGGATTAAACCCATCTCAGAGTCTTCACACTTAGCTACATCTCCAGGATTTTATTTTTTATTTAGAATCTCACTAAGTTGCCCAGGCTGGGCTCAAACTTGCAATCCTCTTGTCTCAGCCTCTCCATGTACTAGAATTACAGGTGTGTGTCATCACTCCTGGTTCCCATTATGAATTTTAGAATCAGCTTGATTATATCTACAAAAAAATCTTACTATAATTTTAATTTGAATTTCTTTAAATCTGTGGAACAATCTGAAAGAATTTACTATTTTGAGTCTTCTAATCCAATCGCTTCTCGGCCTTTTGGCTAAGATCAAGTGGAGTCTTCTAATCCGACATGGCATGTCTGTCCAATTATGTCTTTTACTATTTCTTTCAAGAGCATTTCATCGATTTGAGTACACAGATCTTGTATGTATATTGTTAGATTTATATCCAAGAATTTTGCTTTTAGAGCTATTATAAATAAATAGCTTTTAAACTTTTTTCCAATTGATAATTGCTTATCTATAGAAGTATGATTGGCATTTGTATCTATTTGTTAAACTCGTTTATTCTAATAGTATTTCTGCAGTTCTTTGAAATTCTTTTGATATATAATTGTATCACCTGTGAGTAAACAGTTTTGTTTGTTTCTTTCCAATCTGTATGTTTTTATTTCTTCTTGCATTAATGTACTGGCTAAGACTGCTAGTACTATATTGACTTGGTAGAGTATGAGTGGATATCTTTATATTGTTCCCAAACTGAAGAGAAAAGCATGCAATCTTCATCATTAAATATTAGCTATATGTGTTTTTGTGGATGCCCTTTCTCAGGTTGAGGGACTTCAATTATTGTCTAGTTTGCTGAGAGGTTTTCTTACTACTTTTTTGTGGTGCTGGGGAGAGACACTCCGATCCTCATGCGTGCTAGGCGAGTGTGCTCTACCATTGAGCTATATCTCCAGCCCTCCATCCTCTTACTTTTAAACTACTTGTATCGTTATATTTGCAGTGAGTGAGTGTATGTGTGTGATTGGAGTGACTGGAATTGAACCCAGGGCCTTCACACTGAGCTAAATCCCTAACCCTTTTTTAAATTTTTTATTTTAAGACAAGGTCTCATTAAATTGCCCAGACTGGGCTCAAAATTGAAATTCTCTTGCCTCAGCTTTTCTAAGTGCTGGGATTAATGGTGTTCCCTACCACTCCTGGCTGCTCAGTTTCTTGAATCTGCAGATCTTTATCTAACTTAGGAAGTTTTGGGCCCTTATTTCTTCAAATTTTATTTTCTGTCCCACACTTCTTTCTTTTTGAGACTCCAATAATTTGAATATTAGATGTTGTATTTATTGTACCACAGGTTCCTGAGGTTGTTCATTTTTTTCTACCTTGTTTCTGTTTTTCTGATTGGATAATTTTTATTGGTCTATCTCCAAATTCACTGGATTTTTTCTGTCATCTCTACTCTGCCATTGATCCTATCTAGTTATCTTTCTAATTTTGTCTTTTGGTTCTAAAATTTCCATTTGGTTGGTTTTTATGTCTTCTCTTTGCTATGGTAATATTTTTCACTTTAATATTTGTTCTGAGAATCTTCGTGATTATTCAATCTTTTTTTTTTTTTTTTTGGTACCGGGGATCAAACTCGGGACCTTATGCTTACAAGGCAGGCGACGGCACCACTGAGCTAAATCCCCAGCCTGTTCAATCATTTTTATAATAGCTGCTTTAAAGTGCTTGTCACATAATTCTGACATCTGTATGATCTCATTGTGGGCATCTGTTGGTTGTCTTTTCCTATTTGAATTAAACATTTCATTGTTCTTTTTATACTAATTTTGGATTGTATCTTGAACATAGTATTTTGGATATTATGTTAGGAGACTCTGGGTTTTGTTTAAATCCTGTTGAAGAATGTGGTATATTTGTTTCTGCAGGCAATCTATATGGTTAGGTTCAGGCCACGAGCTCCATTCTGTCTTCTGTGGATGTGGTTTCAACGTCAATTCAGTTTTCACAGGCTTTGCAGTGTTATTCAGGTCTGTTTCATGTATGCTGCCCAGAGGTTAGTTGGGACTTGGATAGAGGTCTGGCATTAGCTCTGTTCTCAGTCTGGGGATATTAATCAGGATTCAATCCATGTATGATGAGGTCAGGAGCCAGGAAAAATTATGGAGTTATAAACAACTTCATAAAGTTGCTTATTAATGCCTGAGCTCAAACCCAACCTTTTCACTGGGAATCTCCAGGGAGCATGGTGGGTTGGAAGTCCCAGGGGGGCCTGGTCCTCATTCCCAACACTCACTGCAGTCTACAAGTTGTCTGGTCTCTACTTAGTTCCTTCCTATCCCTGTTTCTCTATCAAGGAGGACAAAGAGCAACAGGGCTGGCACAGAGGGTCTCCTAGGGCTCCAGAGAAGGCGTAGAGTCCTTTGTTGTGGACCCTTAGGAGACCAGTCATGATCTGAAGCCTAAAATATGGCCCCCAATACATCTGGCTGGCCTCCTAACCTAGTCACTTCCTGCCCATTCTCAGTGCAGGCAGGTCAGAGAGTGGGTTGAAGAGCTCCAGGACTAAGAGGGAGGTTTCTGAAAAGCAGATCTGACTAGATGTCCAGGAAAAGCCTCCAGTATAGCTCTACTGCCCTCTCTAGGACCCCTGGATCTGAGAACTCAATCTATAAGCTCTGGCCCCTTTCTCTAGCAGTAGAAGCCTCCCCTGTGACAAACGTGAAACCCCTTACACTCATGAGTCTTTTCTGGTCAGTTACCTAAATGACTACCTAGTCAATCAGACTTTTTTTTTTGAGACAGGGTCTTGCTATGCAGTTCAGGTTGGCCTCAAACTAGCAGCAATCCTTCTGCCTCAGCCTCTGGAGTGCTGGGATTACAGGTGTGCACCACCATGCCCAGCTTCAATCAGACTTCTTAAAAGGTCATCTAGTTGACAATGAATTAAGACATCTGGTCAACCTACAAACTCAGACCTAAGGTCAGCTCCCAAATCAGAACATCTTGTCAAACTCACAAAGCAGGCCATCTGGTCTGCCTGACTTGCCAAAAGGCAATCTGTCAGGGTCTTGGAGAGTCCCTGCACAATCTTGGTAGGCATGCCAAGAAAGCAAGGCCCAGCCAGCTCCCATGAGAGATTAGATGACATCTTCTGGATGAAAAGCAGGTATGTAATGTGCATTAGAAAAACAATGAGGCCGGGGATTTAGCTCAGTGGTTCTGTCGCCTGCCTCTCAAGCGCAAGGTCCCGAGTTCGATCCCAGGTACCAAAAAAAAAAAAAAAAAGAAAGAAAGAAAGAAAAAAGAAAAACAATGAATTCCACTCACTTGGTGTTCCTCTCACTATGTGTGCAGACATGCATCTAGGCCCTCATGCATCACCCTCTTGAGATCTGGGAGCATGTAAAACTAGCACAAACATCATGCTGATGCTCTGGTTATTATTTTCCCTATGAATAGTGAAGTCCTTTATCTCTGACCAAGTAGTCTCATATCTTCCACATGCATTCATGAAACAGGAAAGTTCTTTAGCTTACAAGTAGGGTAAAATCTCAGACTCTATAGTCTGGACATTGACCCTCATGCATCAGACATTGAGTCCAAGGTCCTCAGGCCAGGCACTAATACCAGACTCTTGTTACTAGACTGCTAAGTCCTGCCTTTCCTCTGCCCAATATCAACTTCCAACTTGCTTCCCCAGTTCCACCAACAGAAGCTAACTCTACACTATTAGGTCCAGAACGTAAGAGCCACATTTTTGCTTCAAAGACTAAGTTCTAGTCTCTTCTTCCAGAGCCTGGGTCCTCACTGCTCCTTCCAGGAAGTGAGTTGGGATCTCTGCCTCCAGAAGATAAATTCCAAATTTTTGCCACAGGTACTAGATTCCCCAATTCCTCCTATAGGGGTCTAATGTCCATACCCCCTCCAGATGCTAATTTCTGATTTCAGCCCCAAAGTCTAGCCTCTACTTCTTAGTCATGAGACAAATCTCAAGCTGGGGATTTAGCTCAGTGGTGCTGCACCTGCCTTGCAAGAGCAAGGTCCGGAGTTTGATC